TCTTCTGTTTTGGGGGCGGTTACCAGGTGGGGGGGTGAACCTGGACAGACTGGAAATAAGTGAGTTTGGTGGGGTGCATGATGGAAATTTTCCAAATAATCAATAAAAATATTATGTTTTTTAGAATAGGTTAAGGCAGAAGGATCATTTCAAGTTCAGAACCAACCTGGTCTACTCAGCAAGTTCCAGAACAGTCTAGACTGCACAGACAGTTCTAACACAGCCTGGAGTTTGAACATGGACAAGAAATTCTTTAGTGGATTAATCCACTGAGAACTTAACAGCAGAGTGGGCTATCGGGAGGCCAGCCTGGATAGAGGAAGCAGGTCACTAGGTCACTGAAGACAGGCCCTCAAAGGACGTCTTAGCCTTGGTCTCTTCCCATCTTGCATTGCCTCAGGGACACCAGAAGGGGAAGGGAGCAGCCTCTTGTGGCTCATGTACCACCTGCAAGATGCCCTGTCTCACCTCAGACCCAAAGCAATAGAAAACAGAACCAGCTGGCCTTTACATGAAACTTTGGATTCTTTCTAGTACCAAAGTTCTAACCCGGAACTGGGACATCTCTATAATTTGTTTTTCTGTCTCTTGCTATATCTCAGACTGGCTTTGAACTTGAGTTCTTGTCTCAGCCTCCGGAGTTCTGGGATTGGCCCACATCTGCTTTGGAATATAGTTTTAAAACTAGCTCATGCAGATAGGTGGCGTGCTGCGTGTTGGCACTCTCAGCATCTCAGGGGGTGGATGCAGGAGAATCAGGAGTTCAGGGCCATCCTCTGCTAAATAGGAAATTTAAAGTAAGCCTGGGCAACAGGAGACCAAGACAAGTAAAAAGAGAACCTGATGGATGGGAAGGGAGGGGAGGAGGGTGGGTGAGTGGGAGAGAAAGGCTCACATAGGAGGCACTGGGAGACCTCGCGGCTGCATAGGCTGCAGTTAGTAAATATGACCACTAGAGGGCAGTGGTAGCAAGCAACTTCTAACGGACCGGCGCTGTTGGAGCCAGAGACGCAAAGAGCCTCAGTTAAACTCACACGTCCTTTGGAGGCACCCCTAAATTCTGTGGAAGAAATCAGTCAGGCTAACTCTGCCAATAAGTGTTCCGTGGCAGTGCCGACAAGAAGATCTAGGACTCAGAAAAGCATGGTGACGGGGCCTGTGGGAAAGAAGCCAGGCGAGGTAGTTGCTGCCAGGAGAGGGAACCGTGACCAGAGCAGAGTGAGAGACAAAAAACATTACTTCAAAAATATTTCTTTAAATATTTATTTGGCGGCTAGAGAGAGAGATGGTTCAGACATTAAGAATCCTGGCTGCTCTTCCAGAAGACCCGAGGTGCATTCCCAGCACACACGTGGGGCTCACACACATGTATAACTCCAGTTCCAGGAACCTGCACCCTCTTCTGAGCTCCTTGGTCACCAGGCACACAAGTGGTGCCCACATACATGCGGGCAAAACGCTTGGGCACATAAATAAACATTTTTTAAAAGGCAGATCCACCCGGGCAGTGGTGGCGCATGCCTTTAATCTCAGCCCTTAGGAGGCAGAGGCAGGTGGATCTCTGAGTTCGAGGCCAGCCTAGTCTACAGAGTGAGTTCCAGGACAGCCAGGACTACACAGAGAAACCCTGTTTGAAAAAACAAAAGACAGATCCCCAGACTGAGAACAAAACAAAGAAAGAAAGGAAGAAAGAAAGAAAGGAAGGAAGGAAGAAAGAAAGAAAGAAAGAAAGAAAGAAAGAAAGAAAGACTGAATAGTGGGAAAATTATCAAAACTTGATTTTTGAAAAAAGTATTTGGGAGAGGGCACATGTGGAGATCAGAAGACACCAGCAGAGGAGCTCTGTCCTCCCACCGTGTGGGTCCTGAGGGTGGAACTGTTTGTCACACTCAATGGCAGGTGTCACTGAGCCAACTCAACAGCTGGGGCAATGGATTTTTATCCAAGTGGGGGTGAGCTGATTTTGGAGGAAAGGGAAACAGGGAACGGTGGGCGGAGACGGCAAGAGGACTCTGAGAAATCTCATCATTTGTCTGCCCAATAGGAAGAGGGGGGATGGAGGGTCCCCAGGGAGGGATGTGCCACAGTGAGAGAGGGTGGTGAGCTGGGTCACTAGTCACCCTCGGGGACAGCACGCCACCAGCACGTGGTGCAGTCAGCCCCTTCCCACCACGACGGGGTTCATCCTGTGTACACGCCTTGTCTCTTCCAGAAACCTCACAGCCTCCGGAAGCAGCCATCTATCTATCTGTTCATCTTTATTCCTAGATGCGGGCATGGAAACTCTCATCGAGGCTACAGGACTTCTCAAGTCATGGTGCCTGCGGGTTCTGCCTGCATGTGTGGTACCCCGTGCTCACAGAGGCGAGAGAATGGTGGAGTCACAAAAGGTTGTGAGCTGCCATGAAGGTGTTGGTCATTGAACCTGGGTCCTCTGAAGACCAGCCAATGCCCTTAGCTTCTGAGCCATCTCCCCAACATCTCTCCTCCTTTGGGGGTGGGGCCACATTTTCAAGACAGAGTTTCTCTGTGTAACTGGCTGTCCTGGAACTCACTCTGTAGACCAGGCTGGCCTCGAACTCAGAGATCTGCCTGAGTGCTGGGATTAAAGGTATTAAAGGTATGTGCCACCACCACCCAGCCTTTTTTTTTGTTTTGTTTTGTTTTTGTTTTTCGAGACAGAGTTTCTCTGTATAGCCCTGGCTGTCCTGGAACTCACTCTGTAGACCAGGCTGGCCTAGAACTCAGAAATCCACCTGTCTCTGCCTCCCAAGTGCTGGGATTAAAGGCGTGCACCACCACCGCCCGGCCTCACCCAGCCTTTTTTGAGAGACTGCCTCACTACGTAGCCATAGTTAGCCTCGAACTCCCTACATAGACCCGGATGGCCTTGAATTCCTGCACGAGGTGTGAAGGGGTCTGAGGACTAACCTTTGGGAGCTGGTTCTTTTCTTCTGTGGGTCCCAGAGACTGAATTCAAGTCCTTGGGCTTAGCAGCCAGTGCCTGGAGCAACTGTCTCTTTTTTGTTTTTATTTTACTTACTTGAGAACGGACCAGGCTATGTCACCCGTCCTGGAACTCAATTTTCGTGCCTCTGCCCCAAATGTCAGGGCTGCAGAATACTACCCTCTGCTTAGGATTTTGTGCATAGTGTTTCTCTGTGTATCTCTGGTTGTCCTGGAGCTTGCTATGTAGACCAGGCTGGCCTTGAACTCAAAGATCCACTTGCCTCTGCTTCTCGAGTGCTGGGATCAAAGAGGTGTGCTTTAGGCTTTTAACCACAGAGGCACGCAGCTTCCTGGTGCTTTTGCTGTGACCTCACGCTTTTATAATTGCACTGTCTTTTCAGGGATCATCTCCCAGAACTGTTAGCACTCACCAACACTTTAGTAAAAATTAGACAGGGGCTGGAGAGATGGCTCAGCAGTTAAGAGCACTGACTGCTCTTGCAGAGGTCCTGAGTTCAATTCCCAGCAACTACATGGTGGCTCACAACCATCTGTAATGGGATCTGATGCCCTCTTCTGGTGTGTCTGAAGACAGCTACAGTGCACTCACATACATAAAATAAATCTTAAAAAAAAAAGAGTCAGCCAATCTCTTTCCAAAACTAAAAATGACCCAGTGATGGAGTACCGTAGTGAAGCCCCAGGGCCCACCATGTCCCAGTTTTTTTTAGCAAACGGCACTGGTTATTTGGGCCTCTGATTCTTCATCTGTGATGTTCTTGTATTCTACAGACAAGTGCAGATCTGACACAGTGAACATCTGGGGCTTGAACTGGGGTTCGTCACCTCCACAACCATGAGGAACCAAAAACAGGTTCTATGAAAGGGAAGTAGAGAGTTCTGTGGCTCATGCAGTGTTCTGGGAACAAGAGGCCAGGTGATGGGAACCACTCGACACCCCCCTCAGTCCTTTGCTCTGAGGGAGGAGGTGGCTGAGGAGTCATCTGTGTGGAGACAGCTAGGCCCCCAGCAGGGCTGGACAGCCAGGGTGAGCCAGATGGTGACTCTTTCCTTACTGGTCTGTGGCTCAGATCCCCAGGATGGAGCTCTGGTCCCAGAGAGGCCGTGGGCAGCACGTGCGGTGCACCAGCTCACTAAGCCGGGTGACACCCGAACTTAGGGGTCAGAGCCTCAGTCACATGGAGGCTGTTGTTCGGTAGCCACTCTCTACTTCTAAGACGTATGGAAGGCATTCGTAATTCTTGATCGGTCGATTTCCCTGCCTGGCTCTGGGGACACTGTCCATCCTGATCAATAGTTGGTATTATCCCCCACAGAACCCTAGTATCAACCTCTCTGCTTCCAGGTTCACTCTGCAGATATGGTTGAAGCAACCTGGGTAAGTTCTGGCCTTGATGCTGCTTCTTCCAGGAAGCCCTCCCAGATATTTTTGCCCTGCTGAGGATGGACCCAGTGTCATGATTATGCTAAGAAGGTGCCGGCTGCTGAGCCACACCCCTAGTCTCTCACTGGTGGTTTCCGGCAAGCCCTCTATTATCCTATTGTTCTGCTTCTCCGCCCCTAGAGAAGAGGCTCCTCCCATCCCTGGTACACCTAGGGCCATTGTGCATTTCTGGACTCGTTGTCCCTGACTGAATTGGGCTCTTCTCTCCCACTTTAATGCCATATACTGCTGTTCTGTGGCCTCAGCTCCCACAGCTACAGCACGCACACTCTCCACTAGTGGCCTCATCGCTGTGTGATGCCCTATGGGAAGATGACAGGGGGTCACAGTGGGCCGTGCGCATCATCCCCCGTGACCCGGGGATCTGGCCCTGGCCTTCCTCAGGAGCTGGGACTGGGTCCATATGGGGGAGGTGGGGACAGGATGCGAGTCTCCAGGACGCCTCGGGGTCAGGAGGGTATGTTCTCAGGCTCTGTGGCCAGGAGGAATGTTTCTCCGTCAGTCGGGGCCAGCTGTGGCTTGAGGGACCGAGGACAGGGGCTGCAGAAGGCCAGAGTAATGGGGAGAGGAAAATCCAGACACCAGAGGCAGTTAAGGAACCCTTAAATACAACTTAGAAACAATCTGGGCTTTGGGTGCGGAGCGCAGAGGCGGGCGCAGTCAGGGTGGGGCAGTGTGGGCCCGGTCCTGGCGGGGGCTCAGGCTGGGGTCATCTGAGGGGCTGGGCTGTGGGAAGCCCGGCTGCTTGTGCAGGCCCCGAAGCTTGGCCAGAAGCTCCTGGACGAAGTCCTAGGGACAGAGTGGGATTCTGAGAACAGAGCAGGAGAGAGGCCTCCCACCCCTATGCCTGCAACTCTTTGGGCAACAGCTTATTCAAAGTAGGATCTGGGGCCAAACAGGGAGGGGGTGGAGCCTAAAACAGGCACGAGAAAGGGGGAGGGGCAGGTAGAAAGATTGGAGAAAGCTGAAATTACTCCCTGGAGTAGTAGTTCTACCGGAGGCAGGAGGATTGCTATGAATTTACACACTGAGAACCTATTCGAGAAAAGGGGGGGTGGAGGGGTGCGGAAAGGGGGCTCCGTGGTTAAGAGCGGTGGCTGCTCTTCCAGAGGATCCGAGTTCAGTTCCCAGCACCCACATGGCAGCTCACAACTGTCTGTGACTCTAGCTCCGGTGGATCTGAGCCGTCTTCTGGCCTTCACGGGCCCCAGGCATGTGTGTGCGCACAGGCATACGTGCAGACAAAACACATCTTCACTTAAAGTGAAGTAAAATAAAAATAGAGAGGGAGAGAGACAAAGACCCTCATCTGAGAGGGAATTATAGAGAGACACGGGCTCGGAGGGAAGACGGAGATGTTTCTCAGGCTGAGAAACAGTCCCTAGAGACCAGGTCTGAGCCAGCTCCAGGCAGACTGACAGGCGGTGACGTTTGTCTCTCAGGCATCTAGGAGCTAAGGGGAGAACCATGAATATTTTCCCTTTTAAAGCTGGGGAGGAAGTGGGAGTGGCTGCCCAGCTTCAGAACCTACAGGATGGGGGGGGGGGCTCCAAGAGATATACAGGGAATTCCAGGATGGTATAGACAGTCACGGGAGAGAGGGGTGGAGAGAGAGGGTGAGCCCCCCCCCCCCAGACAACCAGCAAGAGACAGGCACCATATGGGCAGAAACAGGACCCCCATGGGGGATGGGCTCTAAGGCAGCAGCCTGTGGACCCGGTGACAGATGGGAAGGAGGGAGGGAAGGAGGGGGAGGAGGAGGAGAAGGAAGGAGAGGAGGAAGAAGAGGAGGAGGAGGAGGAGGAGGAGGAGGAGGAGGAGGAGGAGGAGGAGGAGACAGGATGACAAAGAGCAGGACAGAGATGGGATCCCTAGGCCTGTCCTCATCCACGGCCGACCTCCCCCTCTTCCCCTCCCCTTTCCCCTCCCCTCCCCCTGAAAGGTGAGGGTCCACTCCTGAAAAGACAGAAACTCACCTCTGTGGGATTTCCACAAGCCTCCAAGAGTCCCTGGGAGGTAGGGGAGAGCAAAACAAAAAACAACAAAAACAAGACAAAAAAAAAACAGTAAATAAATGACACCTATCCCCTCAGAGGCCCTCCCCTTTCCCAAGGGAACAAAAGATGATCCATTCCACGGTGGACTGCCCAAGTGGCTTCAAGCAGGAGCTCAGAGTGACCAGTTCCAAAAGGCTAGGAAGCCAAGCCTCTGCAGTCAGGTCTGCGGGCAGCCTGAGTTTGGCTCCTAGCTTTGAACAAACTGTGTGACCCTGGGCCTCTCTAAGTCGTATTTTCCTTTCGGTGGTAAATGTGTCCGCTTTATAGCGTTTTGTGGAAGATTTAGTGTCTGGCTTAGGAAGTGTTTAATAAACATGTCAACTTGGGCTGTCCTGTGAGTTGTTGGACTGGGGCGGGGAGGGGCGACTCTCTCCTTTCTCTCTACCTACCCGGATTTTCCGGCATCTTTCCTCTTCACTGTCCAATTCCAACAGCTCATCGATATTGACCTCATCCGGCATGTCTGACTCCTACGGCCAGGGAGAGCGGGCTGGTCAGAGTCCGTGTCTCCCTGCGCCCCCTCCACAGCCTTTTGTCCAGGGCTCTGGAGACACTGCACCAACCCCAGGCCCAGCTGGCCCGGCCTGCAGCGATAATGCGGCAGGCAGGGACAGCACCACTGAGTCAGACATCTGGGCGGGGGGGGGGGGTGTTAGGGGAGTGACAGATGGGTGGAAGGAGGCCCGGGCCCTGGTACCAGCCCGATGCCTGCACCCTTGGCTCAGCACGGGGGCCTTGGGGCTGGCACGGGGCTTTCTCCTTGGCTGCAGTTCCTACGGAGCAAAGCAGGCCCAGTCGAGTCTCGGAATGTCAGATTCTGGGATTCGGGGAGGGATTGGCTTCTGCCCTTTCAAGGGAAAGTCTTAGCAGTGGTGTGGGGGAGGGGAACCAGCTGGGGCGGGCCCCTTCCCCTGGGGACAAGAAGGGCTTCTGGGCTTAGGGCCAGCCAGGCCTCCCTGGGCCACATCGCAGGCTGCTGGGTCAGAGAAGTGACCACCTAGACTCACCATGTGTGGCTAACAGGAATCGCCCCTGAGGGGAGGGAAGGCTAAGGCCTCATGGTGGCGGTACAAAAGATATCTGGTCATGTTATGGACAAGACCCAGCTGTCCTGGGCTAGAGGACATCTCTACTTTCCCAGTCTAAAGTCCTGCTGCCCAACTGGGGAGTGAGCATACAGTCCTGTGTGGGAGATGGGACCTCTGGCATCTAAGTGTGCTGGGCCAGAGACTGAGGGGCCTACTTGACCTGAGTGAGTGTATCCAGTGTGGTTGCCCCTCCAGTGTGGCTATCTCGTGTCAGACATGGCAAGCTGTAGGAACTATCTTTATCTTTATCTTTTTTTGTTAAAAAAAAAAAAAAAGAAAAAAAGATAGGGTCAGCCGGGCAGTGGTGGCGCACGCCTTTAATCCCAGCACTTGGGAGGCAGAGGCAGGCGGATTTCTGAGTTTGAGACCAGCCTGGTCTACAGAGTGAGTTCCAGGACAGCCAGGGCTACACAGAGAAACCCTGTCTCGAAAAAACAAAATAAAAACAAACAAACAAACAAACAAAAGATAAGGTCTAGCCCTGGATGACCTGGAACTCGTTCTGTAGACCTGGCTGGCCTTAAACTCACAGACACCTGTCTGCCTCTGCCTCCCCAGCGCGGTGTGCCACCATGCCAGGTTTGTTTTGTTTTGTTTTTTTTTCAGACAGGGTCTCCTTATCCAAGGTCGTCCTTGAACCCCTAATCCTCCAGCCTTCGTCTCCCAGTCGCTGAGATCATAAGGGTTATTGGCCATGCCTAACTTGGTTTCTGACTCTGTATTCCTGGGATACTTTTACCAGTTCCATGAGTAGTTTCCACAGATGTGAGCTGTGACATCTGCCCTTTGGATTGTAGGCAGCCATACTTTTTTTTTTTTTTTTTTTTTTTTTTT